GTGCAATCTTGTGTCGACGAAAAGATAGGTCTACTAAAACTTTCACAAACTTCATTCGTTGAATACGACCTCTATTAACTTCGCTGATGTAATCACAGCATTCAGATAAACGGTTTGAAATCAACTTTAAAACTTGAACGTCTCCAATCCGCTCGACAATTCGACGGACAATGTTGTTGCCAATGTTATCTTTTAATAAAATGAACAGTAGATCGCATTCTGTGTAAAGCGTATGTTCAGGAATTTCCAGTAGCATAACTGCTAATTTGCAAACAAGATTTTGGTCGAGTGATCCAATTGCTGCTTGGATCAAATTTCTGTAAACAAAAGTAAAGTTTAAAATTTAATTGTTAATTAAAATGACAAATGCTTACGTCTGAAAACTGTCTGTGAATCGATAATGATTATTAATTTTTTCGATGATCCACTCGGGTGATGCCACGAGTTTGTTGAACGAAACACAGTATGTAGGCGAAAAGTAGGTTTGCGCTTGTAAAATCTGAATGCCGTAGTTTGAGTTGACAAGAGTCTCGAAATTGTTTGACACAGTTTTCAAAAGATGATGATATACATCATAATGACCATTTACACGTAAAAAATCTGACGCTGTTTTGATCAAATAGCGAATGCATTGGTTCAAACGAGCATCTGTGCCCATGTAGCGCATCTATAAAATAAAAATATTAGAACAATCAAAAAAAAGTCTCACTAGCGCATTATATTTTACATGATTGGTTGCAAAGCGAGCTAAGTCAATTGCGCCCTGCCCGTGTCGTGCAGCCATACAAACGAAAAACAGGGCCTCGGCTTTCTTGTTGGCAATTTCAGAAGTTGTGAAAACGATAGATAGGTTTTGGAATTTGTCCTCTCTGAATGAATCAGTGGTCATGAGTTTTCGAAAAAAGTGTCCAGCTTCATTGGAGTCATAAAGTCTTAGTCTAATTAGCTTGTTTTGAAGCAGATTCAACAGCAAATTCCACGAATTGCTTTCACACATAAAAAATAGTGTTGCCATAGAATGAATGGCGCGCTTGTGAGTGATCAACTCAAATAGGTCATTTTTTATTTCTTCGCATGCATTAGTGATGTTCGAAATTGAGGTTGATTGAATGAGCTTCCCAACTTGTTCCCAATCGCCACATACGAGAAACACTTTTTTTACCAATCCTCTGATTTCTCGTAATGAGTACCATTCAGATTCGTTGAACTCAAGTGTTTGGCGTATATTAGCGTCATCATCGTCATCTTGATGAACAGTTCGGTGATCGTGTTGGGGCACTTGTTGGTCTAAATCGAAATCGAGGTTTGTCTGGCTGTTCAGTTTAACTAGAGCAGTTTCCCATCTTAATTTCAAACCATGTTTATCGCCAAAATACTGTGCAATTGACTGGATTTCGTTCCTCCTACCATGATTGGTGGCAGAGTGTCGTTCAGCTTGAATGTGTGTTTTGAACCACGTCGAGCAATCTACACACTTATAACAAAACACGTCACAGTGGTCTGAAACGTGACGTTCTTCTTCACGATCAGGTGTGTGTTCATTCCAAGTTTGTGGTGCATTGCCAACTACCTTAGCACAATGTCGACAAACATGAGCAAACTTCGCGTGGTCTGTCTTTGAATCCACAATATAATAGTCGAAAGCGTAGGTTTCAGTTAGTTTGTCTACGGGAAACGCGTGTACTGCTACTAAATGATCATAGTATATGAGAGCACTTGAAGCTCTAAAATGACAGTTAGGTAAAGCACACAAGGCACTTGGACGCAAATAAGGTCGAGGATTGCTGTTAAAATTAAAGAATAAAACTTGTAATCATGAAAATATTAAACATGAACAAAATCTTACTTCGAATTCATTGTTGTTTTTGGAAATGGATCAGTGAAAGCGAGTTTGAGGTTTGGGTGTCATTGAAAACTAAATTTAGAAGTAACTGTAGGTTTAGACGATCACGCACAAGTGCAACTGGTGAATTGAGAATGAGCAAAGTAATGCGAATTTGAGGTTTGTCTACAATCGAAGGCCAAGTAGCAAAGCGCAAATTATGCTGACTTGAGAGGACTCAAACTTGACACGAAAGTATAGGTTTCACACCAAAACACCAAAGTGTAAGGCAGGTGATTGCGTCGATGATAGCACTGGAACGAAAACAAAGGTTTCAAATTCTAAAAACGGCATCGAGATTTGCTGAGCAAGAATCGTCAATCACAAGTACACTGTTCACAACAAAGCACAGTATCAGCAGCGGCAGCAGCAGACCGTCTGCATAAGCATCAAGAAAAAATGCTTGCGATAGTATCGATTGACAATCGCTCACACGATTTTTTAACAAAGAAGCAATTAAAAACTTTAAATTACATATTTAGTCAATTATAAAAACAGTTTCAAACAAGAACAACTTTTATTGAATAAAAAATGAATACACTAGTAGTTATCATAATTATAATTAAGAAAAATATGAAAATGGTTTGACGATAAAGTAGGTTTGTTACAAAACGAAGACAATGCACTGTTTTACATCGGTGGGCTGTGAAGATAAATTCGAGTTTTGTGATGATTTTCTTGTACTGGTTCACGAAACAAATCTGCAGATATTGAATTCAGTCTGTGGCCAGTGACGTACAAAAATTTGTCGTCTGCAGAGAGGTTTGTCCAGTGATTCTTGTCTTTGTCGCTTGGATGAACAAAGTGGATGCTTTTCATACGATTAAATAGGTTAGCGTTTTTGGCCACCATTGAAACTGAATCAGTGCAACTGACATTTGCCACAAACGACCAAATGGTAGTAATGTTGATCAAACTCGAAATTGCAGCGACAATGTCTGATTGCCAATTTTCAGTCAATCCAAAAAACGTGAGTTTCTCTAAATTCACAAAATGGCATATCAGTTCGTTTGTAGAAAAAGATTTTAAATCATCAACGATAATCTCAAAAGTGGAGCAAGCCGAATTGTAGGTTTTAAGCTGGAATCGACAATCGTCGTTTAAACCAGCTTTATTGATAAAATTAACGTAGGCTTGTTGACTTTCGTTGTTCTCAAACAGCATCAAATGATTTGTGGACGAGAATAGCTTTCCAATCTCATCTTTCCATTCTCTACAGACAAGGCGTAATTGGACCAATTCTGAAAAACTAAATTTCGAAAACAAAAGGTTTCGCGCTTTTTTATTGACGTTGTTTGGTCCATCACCTGTGATCGGGAATGCTGAAATAAAAGAATTTGGATAAGATTTACAAATCACAACTTTAAAAAGTATTACTTGATTTTCCGATTGGAAAATAGTCTTTTGAACAAAATTGTGCGCCAAAAGGCACATATGCTGGTTCCGGATCAAGGATGTTGTTGAAACTCTGAATAGGTGTGTAAACGCGTCCAGAAGACCTCATCGATGAGCCAAATTGTGAGCGATCTCGGTAATTCATGTTTGAGTAAGCGACAGAATAGGTTTGGTACAAGAGCACACAAGAAATTAGACGGTGAAGACCAGAATTCAAACATAAAACGCAAACAAGTTGAGTGCGAGAATAGAAACGTGACTTGCAAACAAACAAAAATTAGCCTATATCAACACAAGCACTATTTTAACCCAATAACGATGCTCAGTTGCACATAAAGCCTTTTCCAACCTTTTTTTCGATATTCAATTAATCTCTAGTATAACTTACGACTTATCTTCTTGACAGATCTCTACTGTAGCAAACATTACCACAACCATCAGCAGCCACAATGTCCACCACCACGGCGGTGACGCTTAAGGCGCAGGTGGACACCTCCCACGAGGACATGATCCACGACGCGCAGATGGACTACTACGGCACGAAGCTGGCCACCTGTTCCAGCGACAAGAGAGTCAAGATCTTCAAGATTGACGCGGGCAGTGGGAGTGGCGGCGGTGGCGGCCAACAACAGCTGCTGGTCACCATGAACGGCCACGAGGGCCCCGTGTGACAGGTGGCCTGGGCGTATCCCAAGTACGAGAACCTGCTTGCCTCCTGCTCCTGCGACAAAAAGGTGATCATCTGGTAGGAGATTGCCACTACCAGCACCAGCAGCACCTCAAATGGCGATAATGGCGGCAGCGGTGGTGGGGGCACAGACGGCGGCGCCGAGAAGTGGGAGAAGATCTATGAGTTGAACAACCACGACTCGAGCGTCAACTCCGTCTGCTGGGCGCCGCACGAGCTGGGCCTGGTGCTCGCCTGCGGCTTCTCTGACGGGACCATCTCCGTGCTGAGCCGCGCCCCCGGCGCCGCCACCACCAGCAACGTCTGGGACGTGAAGAAGATCCCCAACGCCCACTCCATTGGCTGCAACTCCGTCAGCTGGGGACCGGTCTTTCCACCGACCAGCGCCGCCGGCTACACGCCGCAGCGGCGCNACAATCTGGTGAAGATCTGGCTGATCAGCGAGGCGGAGGACAAGTGGCTGGAGGAGCAGAAGCTGTAGGCGCACTCTGACTAAGTGAGGGACGTTGCCTGGGCGCCCAGCACCGGCCCCCAAGACGTACATTGCCAGCTGCTCGCAGGACCGCCGGGTGATCATCTGGATGAAGGTGCTGACCACCTCGGCCTCTGGGGACAGCAACGTGGGCGAGGCATTGAGTGGCACAGGCCACTGGACCTTCAANTCTGGGGACAGCAACGTGGGCGAGGCATTGAGTGGCACAGGCCACTGGACCTTCAACGTAATGAACACTTTCTACGACGTCGTCTGGCACGTCTCCTGGTCGATCATGGGCAACATTCTGGCTGTGAGCGGCGGTGACAACAAGGTTAGCGTGTGGAAGGAGACACCCGACTGATGGTTGATCTGCATCAGCGGCCTCTCCAGTAACAGCAAGTGAATAATATGATGAAAAGAAAGAAAGAAAGAAGAACCAATAAAACACACACTCACATAAAAAGCATACAGTGTGATAAAACAAAGGGTTTATGGAATTTTATTAATCAGAAATTGAAAGGAAAATTAAAATGATTACAAACAAATGACAATAAAAGCGACTACATAGGTTTTTTATCGTTCAGGCATAGTCCCTTCATTTCTTCCATAAGTGATTCTTCCTCATACTCGGTAAGATCGTTAGCAATTCCCAGTCGGTGGCGAACAAACTCGGGGTCTTTTCCACGAATAACATCTGCAATACGAGAGGCTATTTGAGAAGCCAACTCATCTTGTCCAAAATAGAGTGCCACAGGTAAAAATTCTGCCAGATCGGCGGCACTTTTATCCGTGAAAAACCATTCTTCGTAATTGTTTTCATCAGGATTATGTGTTTTGATCAAATTAATGATCTCCTTTACTACACTCGCATGAAAATCAACGTCGATAGAAGGGCGACCTGAACGATTTGATTGACGAAATTTATGGTTAGCAGCTCTTGTGACAGGGATACGTTGAACAACGCAATCAGAAACTTGCACTTGAACTCGATCAATGCAAAAGATGCGGAACTGGTCACCATGTTGTGCCATGTTTTGAAACAATATGCGAAACAGAGGTTTTAATAAAACAAATCGAAGGTGAACGACACTTAGGTTTCGACTGAGTGAAGTGCAGAGCGATAGGTATAGCGACACTAACAAATCAACCAAAAGTTTTCGAAACAAACGTTTTAGTTTGATGCTGACTGAAAAGACAACACGTGAAGTCTGAGCAGCAAATCAGCTAGACGACAGCTTGTTAGTGCACCGTCACGCACTCTATGAACGCGACAAAAAAATGTGCTTTTGTGGCCACCCAGTCAGTCGTTGTCTGTGCTGTTCACTCAAGTTAGGATTCTGTTGCTTTTTTATGATACTACTTTCAGTTGTGTCTCAAAATCTCAACGAGTTCTTTGTGTGTGTGTGTGTGTGTGTTCCAACAGAAAATGTGTGACAACGAGCAGCAGTTTGAATATATGGACATGTACGACCCTGAAACAAATCGTATTTATCGAGAACAAGTCAGTATGGAAGTCGTTGAAGAAACCTACGATTCGGATTTTACCAACACTGAAGAGCAAGATGGAAATGTAATTGACAAACACGACACAGAAAACAACAATGATTACAAGGAAACAGTAAACACTGAAGTCGACAAAAAACCTATGATTCAGAAGTAATTAAAACTGAAGAGCAAGATGAAAATCAGTTCGATATGTACGACAAGGAGTTTTACTAACAACTTGAGCAATATTTTACTGCTGATGCAAATGGTAACGAAGCAAGTAACACGATTGTCTCAAACAATCAAGGAAATCTTGGCGCACTTACAATTGAAACCACCGACAATCGTACAACTGCAAGTGGTGAGTTATATATATACTTGCCTGATTATTTATTTTAAATAATAACTGTTTATATTGTTACAGAATCACATCAGGCCAAGCATGACCAACTATAAACAAAGCAACGTCATCATGAAATGGCATTTGTTCAACACAGCAAACCTCTATTTTCGTCCCATAACAATATCCTTTGGTCAAATTTTTATTACTGTATAGTTATCATAAACATTCAATAACACAAATAAACAACACTAACATTCGCAATTAATACAATGACTATCTCATCGACTCATCGTTCTTGGATCAGGGAGCTGGTGGGGGTGCTGGTGG